GAATGTATTATGTGTTGCCTATCAGTTGGTGAGGAGCTCTGGGAGCATAGTGCCTAAGGCACTTGACTGCTAAGCAGAAGGCTGGCGGTTCAAACCCACCAGCCACTCCTTGGAAGGAAGGCTGGGCAATCTACTTCTGTAGTGATACTGCCTCGGAAACCCAAGGAGGGGTTGCTATGAGTGGGGTCCAACTCGACGGCACATAATAACAACATCATCAGTTGATGGGATTAGCCAGGAGAAGGGTCATTCTCTACACCCTTAATGAGCAGGGAGTAAGTGATGCTCCCCCTTTGACCTATTCTACAGCATCTTCTTTACTTGAATTCCTATGTGGAAACCAACAGCAAAACTCCTGGAACACAGCAGCTGCTGAGCCTCACATGGTCTTCACAGGGTTATCATGGCATGTGCTTGCTGGAAGTAACTCCACCCCACCTTAAAAAATAACGTACTCCTGTACATGCCCTTTCATGAGGTTGTACTGTTCAGACACTAGACTCTACTGTATACGGAGTAGCGCAAAAATGTTTAGTGCTCAACTACTAACCAAAAGATTGGTGATTCCAAAGCAAACCCTCTGGGGTGTAGTTCTACCCTGAAGTATGTGGGGTCACTATGAGTTGGAATCAATCAGCATCAACCCAACAGCAATGCTTTTGCGTTTTGTGTTTGGGGTAAAGTTTATATTCTAAATTAAAATTAGTATTGTTTTTATATCAAGTTGGTAGAAATTTCAAATTATCTCAGCAACAGCTTTATGTTCTAGGATTTCTTACATGGCCTCATTAGAATAGTATTTGCAGGACCAATTACTTCAAGTAAAATAACATTCAATGACAAAGCTAATAGGAAAAAATGTAATTTCAAATTTAAAGACACAATGTGGGGAGTTTAAAGTGAGATTCATTTTAAATGCAGATATTTATACATTATTTGTGGCCAAAGATGCACATTCCAATGGCTTGTCTTTATCTTTTCTGCAGTTTCCACATGGTAAGGCTATACAAATGACTGTAATGCTAATGTAATGTCTAATATCCAAAATGTCCATGGTATGCTATTGGTTCTCTATAACATAATCCAATAACATAAGCATTTCATTTTATAGTCACAGAATGAGTAACAAAACTGCCTACAAATGACAAGCCTCAAAATTTTTTAAAACATTCTCAGGCTCTTGCATGTGAGCTATCAAAGACCTTTCAAAAGGAGAGGTTGATTTTTTAACTACTGGAACTCTCAAGTGGCCTGGGTCCCCTTGAAAGGTCATAAAACAGTACTTAATAACTGCACCACAATCCCATAAACTGTAAGTGAACCACATAACTTTCTACCCACCCACAGAAATTCTAGGCCCCATTGCAACTGCAACGATTTTCTTTTTGAATCAAAAAAAGTGTGACTTTTCACCTCTCCAGGGCATCATGTGTACCAGCTGGGAAGTACCCTGAATTCACAATTTTGCATGGGGATGTTGTTGCAGATACACACAGTTTATCTTTTAAGTGAAAACGTGTACTTCACCAACATCTGCTTCTGCACTATCATGTACGTACCCTTCGTTTTTTCTTAGTTAACCATAAAATCTAAAGTAGTAAAATGACGAGTTGAACATTTTGATTGAACAACAGGAGAGATGCTAATGCAATATCCAAGGCTTCCATTCCACCCCAGCTAAGCAGGTACTGCTGGTAATACAGACCATCCTAGGAAATCTGCCACCACACATGTTAGGCCTGGGAGGAGAGCAGCAAACTGTCAAAACAGGAAGTTATGTATGCTCACAGAATGTAGGCGTGATTGAAACTGATTTATTTTGCAGTGATTCATAAGGACATTCTGATGATGATCATATCATCTGATGCTGTTTTCTATACAATACGAGGGAGAGAAGATGAGGAAAGACAGGGAGGGAGGAAAACAGATGGACTGGACAGGGAAAGAAGAAGGGAAAAAAGATAAAAGGAAGGAAGGAGGGAGGGAAAAAAGGGAGGGAGGAGTGAGGAAGGAAGATTTCTCTTAACTTCCATTTTATTTTGACTGAAAACTACATTTTCATACATTTTGTCATATGGAAAGGTGTCTTTTTAAACTATAATGTTTTGACTTAGAATGAATGACTCATTTCATGTTACAAATTTAATTTTCACGACTCTGTTTCTTATAGATTAAAAAGTCTTATTTCCAAAAAGACACAGATTTTGATATTCTGTTTTTAGGATTTTCTTTCTCTAGATCAGTTTAAAACTCTGAACCCAAATGAGAAGGAAAAACTGGCAACCTTGAATCCTGCAGAAAATGTCACTGGGATTGTTTTGATTTTATCATATTAAAATGAAAATACCTTAGAAATACACATTCTATGAGAACGAAATTAAAGTTTTTATTTTATTTTGCTCTTCACACAGGGAATGGAAATTAAACTGCTGCAAGACCATCTGAAAGGCTTTAACAAAACATAAAACTGAGTTTATAAACTGCTCCATCATTTACAGTTCAAATGAAAATTTCACATCTAAAGTGCTAAAAACCATACGTTTACATAATACATAGTTACTTAAAAGTCAATGCCTTGATCGATTCCAGTCATTCACATTGTCTCTTAAAGAGTCTTGGAAAAGAACAATCTATATGATGTTCATGACACCAACAAAAATAAGCACGTATAGAACACACAACAGTAATTTCATTATGGAAATCTCTGGGTTAGTTTTCTTTCTTTTTTCTGATTTTGTTTTGGTTTTAAACAATATACTGAATAAAATTTAAAATAGCTTATTTACAACAACCTGAATGCGTTTTTAACCTTTGTTGTTTTTTTAGCAAAATTGCCTTGCCATTCAATATATTTTAAAAAAATAAATATTTGAAAAGTATATCTACAAAGTTCCTAAGAAATGGTTTTGAATTCCAGAGTCCCAAGGAGATGAATTGGCTGTCAGATAACAATGTGCTTCCATCAGATGGACTTGGCAGTTGTAAACAAAAGGAATTTTCTCAGCTTTTCCTCACAAATATGAAATATTTGCTCTTGGCCAACAGCTGGGGTGATTTAAAGAAGTCCTGCATATATATTAGTTTTCATTCAAAATTACAAATCCTCCTCCCCGCTCTGACACAGGCTGTGTCTTTAGTAGAATGGGAGATTGTTGGGAGATGAAGTGACTTTCTCAGGGGAAGTAAAAATCAAAAAGCAGTATGTACTTACAGCTCTAGTCAAATTTCAAATCATAAGGCATCTGGTTAAGAATTTTTTGGAAAGTCAATTCATTCAAGATAAAGCTCAAATGATACTCTAAAAAAAAGAGGCTTGAAAAGTAAGGAGAAAACTTGTTTTGTTCTAATGTTCTAAGAATATTTAAAACTACAAGATAGCCAATGTAGGCCCTGCATGAAAAGTCATCAAGACTCCTTCAATGATCTGGAAATTGTTTAAAAATCAAAATATCAATATTTCCTTGTGATGAATGAAACTCATTTTTGAGAAAACTTTTAATACTTAATTATCATTTTAAATTTCCTAGTCATCCTACCAATTATTAAATTATATTGATACTTTTTGTTTTAAACAGATGAACGGAAATACCTTCACCAGGCATCCACTAGGAGTTAGCAACTCATGAGAACCTATGGAAGAGGCCAAAGAATAAATACTTCTGGAATATTTCTGTATAGTAAGAGATATATTAATATACTTACATATGGATAAATATATTTCTTATAAAGTTAACCAAATATTTATCTTATTTTTATTTCAACCCCAAAACTAGCTCAAAGTAGTGATGCTTAAGTTTATTTTGAATTATATAATTATAGTGCCTAGACTATGTTATTCATGGTAGAGATAGTTTTCCAGTAAAATCAATTATACATTTCTCTGTTTAGTCAACTGGAAGGGAGAAAAATGTAGTTTATACACTGTATTGCAAGCATTTTAGATTTTTTTTCCCCACATACAAGCAATGGTACAGAATTAACTTTTGCCCCTCAGCCCAGTGAAGCTGAATGTCTCATGCTTAAAATGAAGATCATATTTCATTAGTTTAAATGAAATTTTAATTTTACATAAAGTGATTATTAAGGCAGATATGGAAACTTATTAAAATAATTGTTGCTATTTTTAATGAAGCTTTCACTTGCCCTGAAAATGCAAACCTACCAAAACTGACTAATCAAAACATATCATAGCAAGGAATTCATAATCCAAATTAGGAAGCCTGTAATTTATTCTATTTCAGAAAGAGGTTTGAAAAAAAAATCTCTTTATTCTTTACATAATATAATAATGCTCCTCATGTAATATGTATCAATTCTTCTAAGTCTTTGTGTCTGATAAAAAATATTGTGAAGTCTGAAGTTTACATTTAATCTTCTTGGAAAAAAGGAATCGATGTTAAAATGACCATGCTTTGGCAACAACAAATTTTAGCTCCATTTCTACCAATTTTTCAATTGTTTTTCCAGTAGAAAGATTTCAAAAGTCAATTTGAAATAATGAAATCAAACTGTGAATAGAGATTACTAACAATGTTTACCATAAGTGTTACATATCAAGAAGGCAAATCCTTATCAATAATAATTTGAAATATTTCTGTACATGTCAATAAGGACACGAAGCAACAGTATGAAAATTAAACCAGGAAATAAACTATTCGGAAAATTATCTTTTCTATAATGCAAATAAATCATCACCCTTCTTCCTACATAAACAAACTAGGTGAACAGTAAGAAAAATGTGCACAAATGCCAAGGCAAAGGTTACTAAGGAAGTAAACACCTCAGGAAGTAAGCCTGTATTTGTGAGTTTTAATACAACAGAGTCCACCTCATTGGAAGTATATACATTTTGTATATTGAGTCTGACAACCACTTATTCATCCTCTTCTAAACTTTTCAAAACCTGGAATATGAAATAGAAGATCCAATGCCTTGAAATACAAGTATTTTTTAAAACACTGTTATGTTGTTGTCATAAGTTTGGAACTGAAAATACTTACAGTCTCTCCAGTTCTTTAAGATCCTGGAATGCTCCTCTTTCAATGGTGCTAATCTTATTCTCCATGAGCTGCCTGAAATGCAAATTATAACAGGAGACTTCAGGTCACCAGGAACCATCTCAGTTCGTTTCAGTGCAGCAACTGAAAATGTATAGCCTCCTTTCCTTTGTGAACCCCAAATATTGCTCTAGTTTGAGATACAATATCCAACTTATTGTTGATACATTTCAGAGCACTCAGGGAAGGGAAATCATGAGCATACACATCACAAAACCTTCATGGAAAATGCTAGTGCATTTTCTCAGAACTTAACTCATCACCATCTGAGCCTGAAACTACAGCCTATCCTGAAGTGTAACCTCCAAAACTACAGCTTTATGGAAATCTGACTGTTAACTGAGTTCCTAACTAAAAGAATCAATATACAGTAATTCACCATACACATACTTCTACTCTGACTTTATGGATATACCTCAGCAATTGGAAGAATTTGTAATGGTTAATACGTGTCTCTTAAACCATAAACCTGAATATACCATGGTCAAAACTATACAATCCCTGTGATGTAAATATTGATAACCAACAATTTTACATTAACAGTGAATCTCAAATGGTGGTTAAATCACTACTAATTTAAACCATTAATGAGAAAAGTGATCATACTGCAAATAATTTTATGGAAACTACAAAGTTTAAAAAACTATAACACTTATTTTAAAATAGGACTAATGTATTTTTATAGGTAAATATTTTTCTGTAAAAACTCTGCTGATGACCTGCATTGCTTAAGTTTAAAGTTAGAAAGTCTACTTTATTTTCTTTCCAGAAAAGCCTGAACATTATTATATTAGTAATAATAAAGTGCAGACCCACTTGAATTTTTTCTGGTTAATCTAAAACCCTAAAAGTGTATCAAATGTCTCGCATTACTTATTCATATTGTGAAAGCAGCTATTCTACATTTTTATATGCATTAGGCACTTAGGGTAAGGTATAACAAACATTTGAGGTCATTTCTATAATATTGTTTCTATGGCATACATCCAATCTTAAAATAAAAGCCTAAGTTCTTATTAAAATTTTTAGTGCAGTAATAAACAAAAAAGGAAAGAAACCAAGATATGTTAATATTTTGTTTCTGTCTCTAAGAGTTCTCGAAACTGAGACAAAAATAATTCAAAGAAAGCAAATGTTAAAAAACAAAACAGAAAGTCTCTAAAGCATAGAAAATCACACTTACAGGACTCTTAGATGTCTGAGACCAGCAAAATCTGTTTTAGTAATCCTCGTGAGATTATTTCCATTCAGATCCCTGCACAAACAAGTAAAAAAATGAAAGTTCAATTTGATTTCTATCAATTTTAGGGTAAACAAAGTAAAATTTAAGCATACCAAATAATCCTAATTAATCAGTTTACAAAATGAATGGGATTATGAAGGCAGTGGCTTTGGAAAGAAATTTCAGAAAAATGATTCTTAAATTGACAAGTCATACTCGCTGGCATGTGACAAGAAAATGAATTGATTATATTACCACCAACAGTTCTCTGTTGTTAATATTTTGTGTGTGTGTGTGTGTGTGTGTGTCTATGGGAAGTACTTTCAATTTCTGCTTTCACAAGGATGTATTACTTTCACAGGTATTCTTAAAATGGGAACACTGTTATTTTCAATTTCTGCTTTCACAAGGATGTATTCTTAAAATGGGAACACTGTTATTTTATTATTGTCTCAAGTCCTTCCCCCAAAGTTTTCTTCAGGAAGTCAAAATTAACAATTAATTTTCTAATACTTCAGGAGGAAATTGAAAAAAAAAAAAACATACTTCTTAGTCTGGTAACTAAACTTTCTAAGGCAAAGAAAAAAAATTAGCATACTATCAAAAGAACTGCACTTCAAAGACCTGCACTTAGAGCCATTTACCTCCCCACAATTCCATGTTTGTATGAAAACTAAACTCCTCATTTGCAGCTCAGGGAACCCCTGCTGTGGAAGTAAGGTGAAAACTACTAACCACGGTAATAATGGAAATAGTATTCGGGCTCTGACATTCTTGTTAAGATTTCAGCACCCCTAGCCAAGCTCTGGTAGCGTAGTGGCTAAGACACTTGCCTGCTAACCAGACGGCTGGCGGTTCAAACCCACCAGCCACTCCTCGGAAGGAAGGTTGGGCAATCCTACTTCCGTAGTGATACTGCCTCGGAAACCCAAGGAGGGGTCGCTATGAGTCGGGTTTGACTTCAGGGCACATAACAACAACAAAGCCTACATGCCTCAGTGCTTAAGCGCTTGGCTGTTAACCCAAAGGTCAGCAATTCAAACTCACCAGCTGCTCCGCGGAAGAAAGAGGAGGTAGACTGCTTCCTTAAAGATTAGTCTTGGAGACCTACAGGGCATGTCTACCCTGCCGACAGGGTCACAAGAAGTTCGAATCTACTCGACGGAAGTGGATTGGTTTTTGTCTTTCTGTAGCTACAACCCCCTTCCTGGCATCTTAGGTCAAGATGTAAACTTGCCTTGGTTCCAAGCATTTCAAGCAAAACCAGGTTTTGCTGCGGTTCCAGTATTCTCCTTCATGGCACTACTGCCTTAACAGTCTCCTTAACAGCCCTTTACCCTTGACTTTAAAACAGCAGATTGGAACTCTGTATTTATAGTGTGCACTATTTCAACGATGGAATTGTACTAAAGCAGCACTGAGTTCATTACTTTTGAAATTCTTTATAGATCCTTCCTAGGAACATTCCTGAAACGCAATTTCTACATTTTCCTGAATCCAGTCCCTTTTTTGTTGAGTAAGACGTGTTGCTGTTTAAACTTTAAACTGTTCTGAGTAGCATGAAATGACAAGTGCTAAAAAAAAGAATTCTGCATTGCTTCTCTGCCTTTCCTCCCCGACACGATTTAACAAGCTGAGTACAGTACCATCAAGTTGTTCCTGGAACGTGTGGGGTCTATTTGATACAATATGATTATAGAGCCAAAAGTGGTGGTCATATTTTGACAAGTCACTCCGTGTAGGGCCTCAACTTGCTCTGCACTGCGGGTCTGGGAAGCAGGAAGGGAAAAGGGAGAGGTGTAGCCCAGTGCGGCTGGGGGAAGGGGTGTCAAGGGTAGCTCTTTGCAAAGAAAGGAGTTCAATAGGGTCTTTAAAGATTGCTGAGGGCTAGGGGAATGGGTTGGGCAGAAAGGGCAACTTAAGGCTCCATGGGCCGCGCAGGTGGAGACGCAGGGGTCAGAGCTGGTCCTCTTCGTCGCCCCCCACCCCAGAGCGAAGAGGCCCTTGGAGCGGAGTCTGCGTGCAGAGGCCTGCGCCGTCCTCACCCCACGACCGCCGGGCCCACGCGCAATTGCGCGAGCTTAGCGCACCGAGGGCGCTGGGGCGGCGCGAGGCGGCGGCCTCGCGGTTCACAAAGAGAATGGCCTCCATGCTCCACTTCCCTGAACTCGGGAAGCTCCCATAAGGAGCGCGTAGGCCGTCACCACCCGGGCTGCGTTTACTTCTTCATTAGAGCCTCGCAGAAGCTGGGAGGCGGGGATGTCTGCGGGCAGCGGAGCGCGGAAAGCAGCAAAGGGAGCTGCGACGTGAAGCAGCGTAGCAACTGCCCGAGAGGTGGACAGGGACACTGGCGCCGAGCGGAAAGGGCTGGAGGAGGCATCCGAGGGCCGCCGGGTTCCCGAAGCGGTCAGCCCCTACTCGGCTGGTGCTCCTGGAGAACTAGTCCAACTTCGCCTGGACTAGAGGACACGCTCCTCCTCCGCAGGTGCCCGCTCAGGCGGATCCCGCGGGACCGCCGCTGCCTCCTCCCCGGGGAGGTGGGGGTTGGAGAAAGAGGAGTGGGGGCTGGAAGCCACCGCGGGAGCTGCAGCCGTCCGGGGGCGCTCCTCCTCTCACCGCCTGTGCGAAGCGCCCACAGACTGACCCGGCTGCCCCACGACCCCTTCCCCACCCCCTTCCGCCCAAGAGCGAGAGACACAAAGCCGAGAAGCAGAGGTTTCGCTCTTTGGAATCCTTGCGCCAGTCCTCGAGCACAAGTGAGCAAACTTGGCCCTGAAGCCGACCGGAGTGTCGACAACTGCAATGTGACTTCGTTGACAGAGGCTAAGCAAAGTCGCGTCTCCTTCGCCTTAGGCACCCACAAGCACTAGTCCTCCCAGCTTCCCAAACCCAGGGAAGTCGCCTGCGCGTAGTGGGACCGAAACAGGATGAAGGGATCTAGCGCCCAGCGTGGCTGCCTATAGCTCTGCCCCTCCGGGAGCAGTGCCCCATCCCTGGGTAGCGCGCACCCTCGCCCTTCGCCCTCCTAGAGAGCGGGCAGGAAGGCTGCTTCACGCACAGGTCCTTGCGCCACTCGGTCCCGCCAGGCGCAAGGCAGGGGGTACGCGACTCCGATGTTGGGGGTGGGAGCAATGAAAGGGAAGAGCCCATACTCACAGCCTCTCTGTGTTGCGGGGGATATTCCTGGGCACGCTGCGCAGCGCCAGCCCGTGACAGTCCACGGTGCTGCCTGAACAGGAGCACTGAGCCGGGCACGCCTGCGGCGCCACCTCGTTCAGGACCGCCAGCACTAACCCCAGCGACAGGGACAGCGTCTGCCAGCCAACGCCGCACATCTTTCCCAGCCGCCTCCTAGAGCGTTGGCGCCCGCTATTTCTCTCTAGGTCACTACTCCAAGGAAGCGCGCAGTGCTCAAGGCCCAGTGGCCGGGCGTGGGACTAGCAGTCCAGAATGACCGGTGAAACTGTGCAAAAATAACAAGGAAGTAACAGCAATGTTCAAGGCAGCAGAGTTAACGCAGGCACACGCCTTCCGCCCCGCCTCTGCAACCTCCGCCAGCAGGGTCGGCGCTCCTTGGGCAACTTTAGGTCCTGAAAAGCAATCCTCAGGTCCAAGGCTAAAAGGAGACCCCGCGTGCAGCAAGCGGGATCGCGGGTAGTCGGTCTCTGTAAGGCTCTACTCTGGCGGTAAAAGAGCTGGGGCTACCAATGGCCACGAAGATGCAGGGCCAGGTTACGCGGAGGGGTGAAGGGGTTCTATGATCCCGCGCACTCGCTCTACAAATCCGATTCCACAGAGGAGGGTACAAAGCTGAAGAAGGGTCCCAATAGGAATGCTGGTCCCAATCAAAGTGGGCTCCCTGAAGCTAGAAGGCGCAGGAGGCCCACGGAGAGGAGGCAGAGTGTGCCCGGGAACTGAACATAGCGCGCGGGGGCGCACGGGGCAGGCGCTGCGGAGTGCCCGGCGCAGCTCACGCGCTTTCTTCCTGGTTCGCCGCAGCCCCGACTGGTCCTCGCTGGCTCCCACTAGCCGACCGTGATTTGCAAACACACATGCACTTCCCTGAAGTGTGGCTCGGCAATCCCACCTCCCCCAAGGCGTCCTTGGCGACGCTCCACGCCAGGGCCTGCCCGGAGGTCACGTAGAAAAGACAAAAGGGCAGTAGGGCTGCCGCAGCCGTCAGGAATATCCACTAGTCACGACCCCAGTAAAGAAAATCCAAGAGGCCAAGTTGAGGACGAGAGCTCCTAAGAGCACGAGGGAGGAGGGGAAGGCTGGGGCAAGGTTTGCTGGCAGGCAGGCCAATGAGAGTGGAAAGGCCACGGTGAGGGTGTTTGCGCCCTGGTCTTCCTGAGGTGTCCTGGAAGAAGGCGAATTGATAGGCGAATCGGTGGTATCCGTTACTACGGGATTGAGCTCAGGCGCCAGCTGAATGGCAGTCGTGTGTGCGCGCGTGTGTCTGCCACTCTGGTCTCCCGGATACGCCGCAGCTCCGCGGCAGACACCTGATGGCAAAGGTGGAAGAAACAAGAGCAGGCCTCCTGGGCGGGCGCAGCCCCTTGGCAGCCGCTCACAGGTGGGTTACCCTCCTCAAAGTGCAGGAACTTTTTCCAGGCTTTGGATCCCGTCCCCCAAGGCTGGCGGGCTTCACCGACGTCGCGACGCCGCCCGGCTCCTGGCGGTGCACCTGACTCAGCGGCCGCAGTCCCGAGCCACCCGACTTCTTGCAGCCCCTTCCCCTCTCCCGGCTGCTTTCCTCGCCTCCTCGTCCGCGGAGGGGCTTGAGGAAGAGGGTAGGCTGCGACTGGGAACCGGGACCCGGTGGCTCTGCCGGCCCCGGAGCCCCCTGGAAGTGTCTAAACAATAGGACGGACGCAGCAGCCCAAGTCTCGCTGGGCTGCGGGAAGGTGGGTTGTTGTTGCAACTGGAGTTTTCCTCTCCGGCTGGCTGGCGCTGCGTGCAGTTGAACAAAAACCCGGCCCGCGCCTCCCGAGCCGGCCGCGGGCCCCGGTCTCCCCCCTTTCTGCTCAGCACGCCGGCCCGGCCCGAGAAGCTCGGCAGCTCCAGCCCGCGCCCAGGAGGCACGGCGCTCCCATCACTCGCCGCCGCCGCCGCCGCCTTTTCTAGCCACCGTCTGCGGCAGCCACAACCGCCTCCAGCCTCCACCGTCCGGGCTCTTCCCAAATAAATAACCCCAAGTCAGAAGTTGAGCCGGCGAGGCCTTTATATAGCCGCCCGAGCTCCCACCCCCCTCGGCCCCGCCCCGCGCGCCCGGCACCGCCCACTGTCTGCGCGCGGGGACTCCGCACCTCGCCTGGGAGAGGTGAGGCCGCGGCTGCAAGCGCCAGGCGGCGGCGGCGGGTGGCTCGCGGGGACGCGCTTCGGAGAGCTCGCGTCCTCGCTCCCACGCCCGGCAAAGTTGCCCGAGGCCCCGGGCCAGAGAGATGACCTGGGCGCGGAGATGGTTTTTACTAACGGGAGAATGGGCGGAGAGGGCGCATTTGAATGCAACTCATAAACGGAGCTGCCAGTGCCTCTGCGGCTGCTTTTGCCACTGGCTCCGAAGGGGGCTGCTCAGTGTGTGCAAAGCAGCAAGAGACAGAGGCAGAGAGCGAATGATTTAAAAAATCATCATCATCATCAGGCGGAAGGAGATCTGCCTGCTCACAGACTCACACGTGTGTATTTCGGGGAGCTTAAAAGTTCAGAGTTTTTGCAAGTTGGAAAGCGATGTTTTCAATCTCCTTGCCAGTCTTCCCAACTCTAAGCCACCCCCTTCCGCTTAACCCTTTCTTTATATTCACACACTTAGCAGCATGCTCCCTTGACGCTTTGAATATACAATAAGCCCCCGAAACTAATGGCTTGAATGTCTCTGTGTGATTTCACTTTTAGGAAGGAATCAAACCAAACTCACTGCCATTAAATCCATTTAGACTCATAGCGACACCCTTTGGGTTTCCTAGGCGTAAATCCTTACAGAAGTAGATCGCCCAATCTTTCTTCCGCAGGAGTGGCTGGTGGGTTTCAACTGCCCACCTTCTGCTTAGCAGTCAAATAAATACCTTAGGCACTAAGCTAGCAGAGCTCCTTTTAGGAAGAAAAGAAGGAAAGAATCCCTAGCAACGCCCATTGTACCAGGTTTCCTTTATTTGGGGGCAGTTCTAGATATTCTAGGAGCTCTGGTAGCATAGTGCCTAAGGCACTTGACTGCTAACCAGAAGGCTGGCGGTTCAAACCCACCAACCACTCCTCGGAAGGAAGGTTGGGCATTCCTACTTCCGTAGTGATACTACCTCGGAAACCCAAGGAGGGGTGGCTATGAGTCGGGCGACTTGATGGCAAATAACAACAACAACTAGATATTCTTTACCGCCTCTGCTCAAAAGAGTGTTTCCTTGTTTCTTTTTGTTTCTTCAATGTGATGTGTGTCTGGTAATAGCCAGCGCTGTCCAACGCCCCTTTCTGCCCCCCCCCCCGGAAAAAAATGCCTATATTTGGTTTTAATTCGCATCTAATGAGCCCACGCTTTCGCTTGAATTTACAAAGTCATGTCCTCCTTCCTTGTCCCATTCCACCTTGACAGGACCTTTATAGAAATTTGTGCTAGTATCCAGGTTAACACCAGGCTTTCTGTATGGTACTGTGTGTCTAATTGTCTGACTCTCCTTGAGAACATCTGTCCAATTCATCTTTGTATTTCTAGGATCTAACAAAATAACATCTAACAAGATGGATCGACACAGTGGCTACACTGATGGGCTCAAGTATAGCAGGGACTGTGAGGATGGCGCACCACTGAGTAGTGTTCCGTTCTCTTGCACACAAGGTGTACAAATGAGAGCAGACTTGACAGCACCTAAAAACAGGGACACAGCCAAAAAACTTCTGGCACATAGTAAAGTGTGTTGATGTTGGAATCCTTTAACTCAAGGATAGACTCAACCTGAAATCTCTCCAAATTCCCTATTAAGTTGTTTTCTGGTGAGGTTTTTCAAAATTTTTTTTCATAGTATCTGCCTCTACCTGTGTCATGTTCCTGTCCTGGAAAGCCTGAAAACCCTTAGAGGGGCATTGCAAAGACAGAGAAGCCATGCTGTAACTGAACGTAAGCATTTAGGTTTCCTTATTTTAATTTTGACCTGTTCTTTCAAATACTTAAAAATGTTTAACATTTATTAACTGATTTGTCCTTCTAGATTTTGGCTTAAAGTTCTATTATATAACTTCCTTAAGAAAGAGACAGTAGAAGCTGTAGGTCACATCTTTCTATGAGGGAAATGACATAAAAAGCAAGTACCACGCATTGTTGAAGGATTTTTCCCCCGTGAATTTTCTCTCGTCAGAACCAGTGAATTGTGATTAGAACCCCATAATTAGTGTAGACTAATTCGTTTAATTTCACAACTTTGCTACTTTGTCAACAACAAAACATGAGTATTTATAGTTATCGTTATCCACTGCATAGAATCACTCACTGTTTTGTATTTTAATTGCAAGGCCATATGCATTCTGAATATTCATTAACAATGTTATCTATATTACAGCACACATAAAGATCAAAGACACGAGTTCAAGTTTTTTTCCCCCCTCTGTATCACTTTCCATCCTATGTAAAACCAGGAAAGAAGCTAAAAATAGCATCCATAGCAAACTACCCATGGAAACATATGTACATTTTAATTTTATGCAAAGTTTCATTAAGAAATGCCCAATGGACTTTTTTTTTTTTAAGAAAAAGATGAAGACTACCAATTCCTGTGAAAAGTGACAGATTCATTGTGTCACCAACTTTTCAGTTAATAAAGGGAAATATAGTTGAATGACTGGCTGTCTTGTGTTTAAAACTGTTACTTTATTATTAGGTATAATATAAGGTTAGCAGTATTATTGCAGGATGTTTGTTGGAGGCCTGGTCTGTTTCAGTAATATGAACGTCTAGGTCTTATTTTTTTCTGCATTATTTTGCTCCCAAATGAGGTCTGAGTTTCTCATGACTCTGTTACACCCAGCCTAAGGAAAGCTTCTGTGGTGCCGCTTGTCACCACATGAGGTCTCCATAAATCCTGACCTAGATTAAAGCCAAACTGGGATCCACTACAGTCAACTTTCAAAGTCTCCTATTAGCTTGGGGGAAAAAAATCCAGTTGCTAGAATAATTTAGGAAATAACTTAGAAACTTAAAAATGCATGTAGTTAAAAAAAGAAGCAGTAGCAGATAGGGAAGAGCAGAGAGAATGCACCAATCTCCAAGGTTGCTTTTACTTTGAGAAAAGGAAAAAGCTTCCAAATTGGGATCTTTAGGAAAGGGGAGTAAGAAAAGAGAATTGATGAA